GGGGGGAGCGGTGGCCGCTCGAGGCCGCGGTGCACAGCGGAGCTAGTGAGCTCCGGTCACGGACTCGCCGGCGAGAGACGGCGAGAGACGGCGAGAGACCGCGGGATACGGGGAGATACCGGGAGATACGGGGAGATACGAGATAGGAGAGGAGATACGCCAGTTGGCATGGGGTGTCGAGGTGTCGAGTCAGTGTCGAGGTTTGGTGTCGAGGGTGTGCATCGAGGGTTCGAGGCCAAGGCGCAAGGGCTCAGATACATATATTTTGACACGCCGCGCTCGCGGAGCGTCCGAAGAGCCCAGTCATACATCACACACACAAGATCAAGAAAGCTGCCACGCGCAGTTTCGTACTGACTACTGTGATCGTCGCAGCCGAACCCCAAATCCCACCCAACGCACAGTCCACAGAGCTCGCGTCAGAAGCCGAGCCGTCCGAAGAGGCCTCCGCGCTGCCTCGAGGCGGAGGGGGCTCTGATCCACACATTGATCGCGTATTTCACGCCGCGCAAGGGGGCGGTGCCGGCGTGCTCGGTGCGCTCGTCGTCCATGCCCGAGTCCAGGACGTCGTTGAAGACGAGCGCCGTGTAGGCGGTCGGCTTGATGCGCAAGTTGAGCCGCGGGAAGGTGGTGTGGCCGCCGTCCTCCTACGATCGGTTCCGAGAAGGCTCCGAGAGGGCTCTGAGAAGGCTCCTATGGGAGGGTGGCTCTACCCGCCCGCGCCTCCTCGGGCAAGTGAGAGGCGCAGATCGGGAGGGCGCACAATCTCGGCGATCTCGCGGCATCTCTCGGCTGCATCCGCACCTCGGGCAGATCAGAGAGGTAGATGAGGAAGGTGAGGTGGCGGCGCGGCTTCTGCGGAAAGTCGCAGAGATCGAAGAGGTCGTGATGCGCCTCGTACTTCTCGCCCGGGTGGTACCGCACCACCTGCAGCGGCTCGAGCATCGGGTCGTCGTAGCCCGAGAAGTAGGAGATGCGCGCGCGGATGGCGTCGACCGCCCAGTTGCGGCCTGCGAGCGTCGCCGTCGACGACGTCCTCCGGTCCTGGAAGCAGAATACGCCAACCTCAGGGCACGAATACGGTATTGTGCAGCGTATTCAGAGCACGGCGTGAATACAACGGAGAAGACTACGTATTCAGCTTCTGGGCCTCCGGTCCTGGGCGACAGAGCGGACTGGCGAGCGGTGGAAGTGCGACTCGGACAGCCGCAAAATCTCTGCCGCCTCCGCGGCCGTCACAAAGTCGTGAAGCAGCCGCACGCGCGGAGAGGCAAGCACCTGCACCACGCGCACCTCGTGCGGCGGCGGAGCGATCCTCCCGCCGTAGGACTCAAGCAGCCCAAGTTGAGGGTGCGGCGGCGCCGTCAGCGACACGGAGCGGCGCCGAACACGCGGCGTGCTGCGCGACACGTCCACAGGGCAGGTGAGCGCGTCTGCGCCGCGTCCGTCCCTGCGCCGCTGCGGCGGCACCGCCCGGCGCTGCCACGGCAGGGTGCGCGCGGCGGCGCACTGCGTGGGCAGCATGAGCTTGTAGGTGTTTTGGCCCGCCCATCCTGGCAGCCAGCACCGCTCGTGCGAGCGCGCCTCGCGGCTAGAGACGTCGATGCGCGAGGAGAGCACGGCGCGGGCCTCCGGCCTGTGTGCGGAGAGCACGCTGTCCACGTCCGACGCGGCGCACGACTGCAGGCAATCCTGCGCCATCCTCGTGGCATCGCTGCGGCACTCCCCCCGCGCGGCCCGCGCGGCGCACCCGCTCGACTTGTCGGAGGCCTCGCAGCGCAGCGCCTTGTCGCAGACGCCGACGCTCCAGCCCGAGTAGGTCGAGCGAGCGCACCGCTCCTGCACCGTGCAGGAGGTGTTGCAGAGCGCCGCCAGGTCCTGAGACTCGCACCGGCCGAGCAGCGACCACTCCACACAGCGTGAGTCGCGGTCGATCTTTAGGCCGGTTCGCTCCTCCCACGCGTCGCACTCTTTGCGGCACGTTGAGAGCATGAAGGCGGGGTTGCGCGAGCACTCGCCCGCCTGTGCATAGCCCGCACACTCCTTCTCCATCTGCTGGCGCATGCCGCTTCGCGTCTTTCCAGTCGCTTTGGCTTGGCGGCACGCGGCAGCGCAATGCTTGGCCATGTAGGAAGGGTTCGATGCGCACTCGCCGGCCTCTGCCCATGAGTTGCACATCTCCTCCTCGGCGAGCGCCGCCGCTGCCAAGACGGCGAGAGTGAACTTCATCTCCCTCGGAGCGCTGAGAAAAGAATTCAGAAGTCAATGCAAACTTTTTTAGATTAGCTCTTTGGAGTGCTGGCAGGGTTTGCGATGAGGAGTGTTTCCGTCCGATTGGTTTCCTCGGGTTAGCGTGCACCACTTCACCGCCTGTTCACCGCCTGCCACCTGCGCAAGAGCACGTACGTATTTGAAAACAATGAAGGAGAGAGTGCTCGGATTCACAAAAGCTCATCGCAACCCCCGTCAGCAGTCCTCCCTCGGGAATGTTCGTAAGAGCTACATACACCGACCTGGCTGTGTCCTGTGAGCCAGGCGAGGCCCGGGGGGCAAAGACAAAATCACCGCGAGATCAAACTTTAGACCCTCCCCGGAGTGTGGCTTGCCCGTCGGGGTCGGCCGCGCCGACACTTACCGACACCGACCGGAGGCGCTGCCGCTGGCTCCGTTGGAGACAAGTTCGCCTTTGGCAACACCGACGAACGCGCCCGCCTCGCAAACATGGGCTGCAAGCAACGGTCGCGGGCTCCGTGGGCGTCAACGGGCATTCGACCACACCACCGGCCTAATTAAGGCTACGTCAAGTCACAGCGTGGCCACTACCATGATGGCATCATCACACCAAACGAAACACAGTTCAACCTCTTTCTCCATGGCCCGGCTGCGGGGCGTGCAGCGAGTGTTCTGCCGCCGCTCCGGCCCGGTGCAAGCCCTTCTGCGCCGGCCAGACATACAGCTGGCCAGCAAAGTGCAAATGGAACGGATGCGACGAGTGCACCGAGTGTACGTAGCCGGGGACGGTAGTGAAGATTTGATTTGAGAATTTTACAACAAAGCTCCATCGCACAACCGCTGGGCACGGGACTGGCTCGCACTGGCACTTGATTTGAAGCATCGATGTCAGATCATGTCTCTCAAAATACGGGGCTGTGGGAGTCCCAGTTCACCACACAAAGATAAAACTGTGTGCCCCCTCCCGCCCGCGCGGGGGGACCTTCGGTGTTCGGAGAGACGCGCGAGCAGAGTCCAGAGAGACGCGCAGTTTATTTGCTTTTGGAGATATTGCATATATTGGTTATTTTGCTGATTATGCATTATCGTCACCGCGACTCACACAAAATACGCCATCGCGAGTGAAGTGGATCACTGTACATCGATACTTTGCGCGCCCACCGCTCCAAGCGGCGCGCGACAAGGCAATCAGCCGATGGCGCATCCATCCAACCCCCCGCCCCAAGGTTAAGTAAGGTTTAGTCATCCCATTCCGTAGGCTTGCGCAACGCGCGCGAGACGCCCGCCCTGAGCCGGTCGTCCTCCTCGCGCTCCTGCTTGAGCTCAAGGATCTCGTCCACCCCCACCCGCTCCAGCAGCCCCTCTGTCGTCTCGCGCTCCTTGTCGTCGTCCTGCGGCGGCCGGCGAGGGAGCGTGTCTAGGAAGAGCGTGGCAGGCGCTGACGCGTCGGCGGTCGTGGCGCACGCGCTCGCGCTGGCTGCGCGCGCGCGGCGTGTTGAGGGGGCGGGCGCGCGCACAATCTGCCCCAGCAGCACGACGTTCTCGCCGCGGATGACGTACAGCCCCAGCGGCACATCTGCAAACCGCTTGCCGACGATGACACGCTCGAGCGCGTGCTCCAGAACGACGTTCGAGAACTGGTCAAAGGTGCGCAACGTGCCGATGATCTTGCGGCCGTCCCGCAGCACCACCATCAGCTTCTCTGCGCGCCGACGGGGGGCGGGCGCTCTCAGCGGCGGCAGCAGGCGGCCGGCTGGCGCGGTGGCGGGCGGGAGGCGCACTGTCGAGCTCTTCGGCTAGGCTGGCTGTCCCGGTGAGGTTGAGCGCCATCACGTCGACATTGGCACCCGAGCTAGGCATCGGGTGTCGGCAACGAGGCGAGGCCGGAGTCGGGGTGTTAGAAGCGCTCTGCACCGCACTTGCAGGCGAACAAGAAAACATCCGCGAGGTAAGTCGGGTCTCCTGTGCAGTGCATGTGCAGATTGCGTGCACTCACGGCTCTCACACAAAAACATCTCTCTTGGCTGTCTCTGGCTCCCTCACTAATTTCTGCCCTCCCTCGCAGGCACTGCTGCACGCCGTGAGCTCTGTGTCTTGATTTGCCAACAATATACCTACAACTTCGAGGGTACTAGTAGTTTCCTGGTCACATCTCTCGAGCCGAGCCGATGCACGCTATGCTCGCTGCTCTCGCCACCTCTGCCGCTTCCTTCGCCCCGCCCACCGAGCCTTTCGACCGGCGAGTCTTCGACCGGCGAGCCTTCATCGGCGGCGCCGCGCTCGCCGCCGCTAGCCTAACGGCACCGGCACAGGCTCAGCGCTCGAAGCTCATCCCGCGGTCGAGCGCCGAGTCTACCGCTTCGTTCAAGCAATACCAGCTGTCAGAGGCCAAGTACAAGCCCGGTGAAGAGAGCGAGGCATTCAAGAAAGCTGAGGCCGCGCGCAACGGCGGCGCGGCAGGAAAGCCGTCCTCGGCGCAAGACGACCTAGCGAGGCTGGGGCTCAAGTCATTCTCGGACTCGAACACGGACATGTGCCAGACGTGGAAGGGCTGCAACGGCAGGTGAGACGCCTCCTGCGCGCGGCCTCCCGCCTGTGCTCTTGCGTGCCCGGCACAGGTTCGAGGAACGTCCTGTTTTTTTCGTATCGTTTTCAGTTGTGTGTCTATAGTAATACTATAGTGTCTTTTTCCATCTTTGACTTTGTGACTGGAGAGAGAATTTTTCGCACCAAACAGTACTGTGATGTGGGTGCGTCAGCACACCACTGAGTTACACTGCATCTCTGGTTGCAAAAGCGATGACTGATGTACACTACACTTAGACTCGGCGCCTACCCTCTCGCCCCGCTCCCTCGCACCCGCTCACACGACACAGCGCACTGTGCGTCTCTCTCTCCTAGTCTACTTCGTGTTTGGCGTCTGTGCGCCAGCAACGTGGCCGATGATCGGCCGCACCTCACCCACACGCACCTTCCCTGCCCCTCACCCCATGGTCCTTGGGCGGCCGTTCGCCCCCGGGGAGTGAGGCCAGGGATCATCATCTAAAGTGTGCAGCTTCGCCATCCATCGCCGCGGCATCCAACAGGAAGCAAACCACGGATTTCGCCCGGCGTCCGCACGCACAGCCACCGCCCGCACCAGCGCCGGAGGCAGCAGCGCCCGACTCGGCCAGGCAAACCGGCGCAAGGCTCACCAGCCGTAGCCCCAGCCGCCGTAGCCGCCGTAGCCGCCGTAGCCGCCGTAGCCGCCGTAGCCGCCGTAGCCGCCGTAGCCGCCGTAGCCGCCGTAGCCGCCCATGCCGCGCCAATACGCGTTCTGCCGGCCCATCATGCCGCGGCCGTACCTAGAGCGAAGCGACGCACACGCTCAAAGCCCCGTCGCGCGGGCACCTCCTCGCCAACGCCGCCTCACCCGCCATAGCCCCACCCTCCTCCGTATCCTGCGGGGCAGCAGCACCGGGCGTGAGAGCGGTCTGTGGAGGGCGAGCGGGGCCTGTGTGCGCGCACCGCCGTACCCGCCGTACCCGCCGCCATACCCCCACCCGCCGTACGGCATGTACCCCGACCCGCGGCGGTAGCCCATGTAGCCTGCGGACAGGGCGGCGGCGCGTGAGGCGATTGCGGCGGCAATCGGCGGGCGGGCGGGGACTGAAGCGCACCGCCGTATCCGCCCATCCCGTACATGCCATACCCGCCCCATCCGCCGTACGGGTACCCGCCGCCGTAGCCCCAGCCGCCTGAAGTTCAGCGGCGGGCGGTGAGCGGTGCGGCCGAGTGCAAACGGCGGGGGGGGTCGGAAGGAATGAGCATGACCGTATCCGTACCCGCCTCCGCCGTATCCGTACCCGCCGCGCCAGGGCCCGTACCCGCCGAAGCCACCGTAGAGCTCAGCCTCGCTTGTCATCGGGTTCCAGTATGCCCGCTGCTGGCTCTCGTAGACCATCGCCCTTGCGGGCGTCATCGGCCCCGCCTGCATGACCTGCATGGCGGGTAGGGGGGTGAAGATGGAGGTGATGGAGACAGGGGAGGCGGGGACGATGGAGGTGAAGGTGGGTGCGATGGTGGAGGCGGTGAGGGTGAGTGCGACGGTGGGGGAGGTTGTGGAGGTGGTGGAGGGGAGGGTGGATTCTTTGGCGGCGGGGGCAGGGTCGATTCTTTGGCGGCGGAGGCGGGGTGAGGGTGAATGCGACGGTGGGAATATCGTGGAGGTGAGGGTGGTTGAGGGTGGTTACGATGGTGGAGGTGGTGAGGGTGAGTGCGACGGTGGGGGAGGTTGTGGAGGTGGTGGAGGGGAGGGTGGATTCTTTGGCGGCGGGGGCAGGGTCGATTCTTTGGCGGCGGAGGCGGCGGGGTGAGGGTGAATGCGACGGTGGGAGTGGTCGTGGAGGTGAGGGTGGTTGAGGGTGGTTACGATGGTGGAGGTGGTGAGGGTGAG